TTCTTTAAAATATCCAAATTATTCTGTTTTGTTTGGTAAACAGCCAAAACTTCAGTGAACTCATCCGCACAGCTGGGAAAAATATACACACTATATTTTAACTCCAAGACACCAGAATAATTAAACCTCTGTAGAGACGCATGTGAGTAAATGAGTTGCATTCATTGCAACTACAAAGTCTTTTAAGACAGTCAGAAATACAATAAGGCTATATGCAAACAGCTGACTAGAACCTGTCCCCCTACTTCCCACAGCTTTGATTTAAATTTTACTGGTGATTCCCAATGTGGAATATTATGTGGATTTCTTTTGGAGGGATCACTGAACAGGCAGGACATTTAACACTATTTAATTTTAATTTAGCACAGCAGACTTTCACAGACATTGGTGATATAAACAGTACAGGTAACTAAATGTGAATCTCACCAGTGGGTACTCTGAGGTCAATGCTGTTGCAGTAGTCGGTGTAGCAGCACTGCGTGTATAGGTAGCCTTCTACACCGAGGCAGTAGATCGGTTTTCCAGGGGGCACGAGATCTTCCTGTGGGATACAGCCGCGGCTGTGCTGCTGTTTTCCATTGCTGAAGATGGTGGAAGCCGTGCAGGCCCCATCGGTCTCACACTGGAAGTCAGACTTCTTACACAGAGGAGTGGTGCAGTTACACCACAGAGCTGAAGAGACATAGCAAAACATTTGCAAGACCATTAGCTTGCATGAAGTCAAGCGAACTGTGACCCGCTGGCACAAAACTGTTTAAGTACTGAAGAGTTAGAGAGAATTTTACAGCTCCTATAATACACAGCAGGGGGCAGCAACAGCCTGAAGACTTACCGCTGTGTCCCAAAACCTCACACAAATATGTGAGGATTGTAGGCTGGTTTTAGCATGTCAGGAGACATTAAAACACCTCAAAGGAGGTACTGTGCCCTGTAAATAAGCACACTCTTCTCCTAAAATACATTGCATGATGGAAATGTGCTTTGAGAGGGTGGTGAGGCAGCTTCAGGAAAATCTCAGAAACATACATACTACTTTAAATCATTCAAAAAAGGTCTGTTTTTCACCTTTTTAAAGCTGCAGTTTGATTGAAAGCACATGTTACTGTGTGGTTATATTTCCTGTGAGCTTAAAGTAATGAAGATTTTGATGATTTGGTACATGTAGTACACCTGTGAAGAACTGATATTGGTATTGGTAATTTGGCATACAGCTTTACTATCTACTACAACTTATAAAGCCATAAATAAAGCCTAAATATTTTTAAATGATCAGCTTTGCTGTTTAACATGCAGCTATTTCCCTTTTTGGCTTCTTACTGGTTTGTGGGGGGATCTGTTTAAGGCTACTTCCTGCCAAGGATGGCGAACCAAAATATACCGCATAACTAAATATCTCAATGCAAAGTGCTAAAAATATGAAGTAGAGGAAGTGTTAAAAGTGCAGTCATTGCATTAGGTGCAGGAGAGTGTTTTTTCTTTTTTTTTTAATAACTCACTTAGTATAATTAGGCAACCAAGAGACTGGGTTCCTCTGAAATGGAGTAATGCTATTTAGGCAAGAATGGGATGTGGCATTCCAGTTATTCTCAAAGAGCTGCCAGGGAATTCTCAGTGGGAAAATGATCTTTCAACAGCCTGTGTGCCGGATGGGATTGATAAAAACAACAACAACAAGAAAGCCACACATCCAGGAGATAAAGGGGGAAATATAATGGGCTACAATGTATTTTGTAGTGCTGACTCACACGATGCCCACACATACTGGACGCAAGAAATAGAAGAACCACAGAAGAAAAAAGGAAGATAAACGCTGACTAAACAAGACTGACATTTCAGATTTTCCAAAGCTAGAAATGTCACAATTTTAATATACATTGTTGTGTTTGAAACCACAAAGATGTCAAGCGGCACAAAGCTACCGTGTCTGACAAAAAAATTAAATAAAATAGAAATGCAAAAGCAAAGATGGCTACCTATAAAACTTTTCAAGTGGGTAAAGTAATTTACAATGGAAGCATGCTACTTTGCTTTTTTCAGTGACACAAGCCTTCATAATCAGCACAGGAATTTGGCAGGCTGAGCCACCGACTTTGTTCACTTTAATTTTCCTGTTTTCAACCACACTGAAAGCTTTCAACAAGTTAAAGAAAAAACAAGAAAAAAATGTCCGCCAAGTTTTTGGAACTATTTTCTAATGTAATAACATCAATAACTAGCATTAGTTTGCTGTCTAGAGCATTTCAATATACTAAAAACTAATAAATTAAAAATAAACTTTTGCAGAAACACAATATGTGAGGGAAAATATATTATGAACATCAGACTTCATCGTGAAGCAGCATTTTCAGATGAATGCACAAAGCAGACATGCCCCATGTGACCATCTCATCTAAGGACAATTAAATGCCAGTTGGGCTATATCATATTATGATACACATCATCAATAGCGCCATATAAAGTAATTGCAAAATCGCTCCCATGATCATGATTTAATCCCTACTGTCCAGCATTACTCCAATAGGCTATAATGCACACATTACTACCTTTGTAGCTAGAAGATTAGCAGAGTTTCATCAACGCATCACTCCTACCCACGAGTAATTTCATTAAATCGATTCTGCATCAACACTTTAAGCCATTTTTTCAAAGGTGCCTGATACCTGGATGCTTTTAAAGGACGCATACAGGAACTGGTGTTTAAGGTAGCTCTCAGTATAAACAGACTGCTACCTGAGCTCCTATTTTACCTGCTGTATCAGACTCACCTAACAAACCTCGACGTGGACGAGATAACATAGATAGACAGATAACATAACATGATTTATAAACATGCAGTGAAAGGCTCCCCGTATCGACAGCAGGAGGTTTGACCTGTTTTTTTCTGGTTAATGATGGTTAGTTTAGCGCTAGCTAGCAGCTAACTTCGCGGAGCGTCGGCTCCACAGCGGTAGCGACAGTCCTCAGACAAAACAAACAGTAAGTTACTCACCCTGGCAGGCTGTGTATAGGACAGTGTGAACAACCAGGACAGCGAGTGACATCCGTAGGTCAGCCATAATCAATGCATTCCAGGTTCATCGCATTAACACGTTGTTAACCAAGGATCTGGTGAGCCGTCATGTAGACAGTGAGACAGCGCAAGTAGTGTAGAGGCTCCACCAGCAGCAGGCAGTGACACACGCAGACAGCGAGGAGGTAACATCTATCTATCTATAGATTAACTATAGATAGATGTTTAATGGAGACACGCAGACTGCGCAGTTACATCCTGTGCCTTCAATACTCTGGTACAATAATTATAAATTGCTATATTTACAAATTGGTTGATATAAAATTACTAACCACTGTGCTTTTAAGACCCAACAAATCTACTAATAGATCTTCACTGTCCTTTATTTATTCATTTATTTTTATAATTTCAAACAGCTGAAATCCATCTACAGTCATGTGAAAAAGGAAGTTTTCACTGGACTCTATGAAGTCCTGCATAAAGAGCCACCTTTAGCAGCAATGATTTGACCCAGTCTTTTGCAGTCTTTTGCATTAGGACTTTATCAGTCTTTCACATCTTAACAGCCCACTCTTCTTTCAAGCAATGCCTCATTTTATTGAGGTTTGCAGGCATTCATCTATGGTTCCACCACAATATTTAAGTCAGGTTAAGGTCCGAACTTTGACTGAGTCATTGCAACACGTTGATTCTTTTTCAGACATGCGTTTGCAGATTTGCTGCTGAGTTTGAGATTGTTGTACTGATGCATGACCCAGTTTCAGCCAAGATTTCGCAGATGGCCTCACCACCGTGCTAGACAGTTGGTATGAGGTGTTTGTGCAGATATGCTCTGTTTGGTTTTCGCCAAATGTGCCGCCACCAGACATCTCCTCTTTGGATCTATGTTCCAAAAGTCTTGTGGTCTGTTCAAATGCAACTTTTGCAAAGATAAGCAAACAAGCCTCACTTTTCTAATTGTTCTCTAATTAATTTTAACATTTAACATTCTAGCTGAGGCCTGTAGAGTCTCAGATGTAGCTCTTGGAGTTTTTTTTTTTGCAGCTTATTTTGAGGATTGCACGCTCTGACCTAGGGCTGAATCTCCTGGGACATCCTCTCCTGGGAAGACTGTGGCATTGTGTTTACAGACACCTGAATGCTCCAGATCAGCAAACTGCCAAAACTTCCGCATCTGTATAGAAACTCACACCTGCTGATGATCAGTTAATCAAGTGCATTTGATCGGCTACCCTTCAGTAAGGGTGTACATGATTTTGTACATAACTGTACGGAGTCATGTGCAAACTTCCTTTTTCATGACTGTGTGCACGGTATTCAAAGATTACATAAACATTATTGGCAATATCACAAAGTGGCAATAAACCTAGAAGATTAAACAGATCCTGAGTTTTGATGCTTGTTGTCTAAACACTATACAGTATTTTCAGTTCATGTTTTCATCCATAAACTCTTCTTATGTATAAATATTATACATACTACTTAATAATACAAATTAGCTGTAGCATATATGCTTCTAGGTTTACATCTCATGTTATAAATGGAGGCAGGTCTACTCGTACTGTGGCTGTGATTTATTTGAATAATGAGGTAGACATCATGGATGCTTTAGCACCGGTAAGAATGAGCCAGTAAATATGGATTTTGTGCACTGTGCCATATTCTTCTTTTTTTTAAGAAGTTCTTTAAAGTCTTTTAATCCCTAATAGAATAATAGACTTATTTTTCACATTAACTCCAAATATAGGTACTGCTTTTAGCGTAGATGCTTCAAACCTTCTCTGAAGAGTCTTTACAGTTCTCTTCCTCTGTCACTCCCTTTCAGATTTAAGTTTAGTATTCACTTGAATGCTCTTTGGTTTGAACATTTTAAGCCCTGAGTTGAAAGGCACTCACTTTTCTCACAAAGGATATTTTGTACAGCCCTTTCTTTTTTAAAACCTTATTTTTTGGCCTTCTTGCTGTCCTTTTCTTTCTTCTTTTTCTCCTTTTCTTACTTTTCTTTTTCAGCCTTCTTCTTGTCCTTTTTTTTCTCATCCTTGATCTCCTTGTACTTCCACTTGGGTGGTTCCAGATAGCCCTTTTCCCTCTTCTTCTTCTTTTCTTTCTTTGGCGTTGCTTCTGTTGGCCTGTCTACATTGATCTTTGGGATGCAGCCAGAGGGGAACACGCTGTTCCGCCTCCCCATACTCCGGGAAATAAAAGTTGTGGCAGCTTTGGTGGAGAGCATACTGCCTCGCCGCTCGGTGTCGGCACAGCATGTCGTAGCAATCGACTCCGCAGAGTGGATTGTGGGGATAATGTGCGACACTGAGCCATTACTGTGGCACACTGAGCTTTCCTCAAGGTCCTTTTTTGTATGTTTGCTGACCAGCTCTTGTACGGCCAGACGCTTCTTGCCAATCTCTGGAGGGCTCGTGGGGCAGAGTGGGTGACATCCAGTTGAAATCAGAGGACTGTAGACACTGGTGGTCATGCGCACCATGTGGTCCAACACCCCGTTGTCCTCGGGGTCACGAGGTAATCTGAATCCAAAGGTGTCTTTGATCTGCTGGGCAATTTTTTCCCTGGGAATTTTCTGAGATACGGCCTTGGCTACTCTCTCCTTGAGCTCAGGCCACTCAGGGACATAACCCTCACAGAACTGCTCAGCTCTTGGACGCATATTGAGGCGACGGAGACGGTGCAAGGTCTCGTAGCGACCTGTCTTAAAGGCCCAGTCCCGAGCACATCTTCCTCTGGTGGAATCTACTGCATGTATGTCAGCCCCTGAAAAGAAATACCACGAGGAAAAACAAACACAAGAACTGATTAATAATAACTCATTAATAATAAGTTCATATTAATAACTTGTTAAAGTGCTGTTTTGGGCTGCCCTACAAAAAAATGTTAAACATCAAAGTGTCTGACTTGATAATGTATTAATACTTTTTAGTAAATCTTATCGCATACAGCCTACACACGTCAGACTTGATGCCAAACCTGAGTTCTCGAGATTCATGAGGCGCATGGTGGCTTGCAATAAACGTGTTGCTGTCTCACAGTTTGTAGATAACTAAGTTACAGCACAGCCCTGAGCCGTTTTGCACAGTTAAAATTATCTACATCTGTGGTTGTCATACTGTGAAATGTGAAAATGACTTGTGTGCCAATGCCTGTTTACTAATGTTTTATTTGACTTACTAACTTAAATTTTCTGATACAGTGATATGCTGTCTAAATGCGGTAGAATAAAGCAGGCAGGGGTTTGTAAAGTTCAGCTGACTTTCCCACAGTCTCTTTCAGAAATCCATCTTTATGGATTTCATTATGAGGGCAGTTTATTGTATGATATTAATGTTGGACTAAGTGTTACTCCTGGCAGAGATTTGAGGAAACGTGCAGTCCAAAAATAAGGAAACGACTAATCTGCGACCAGCCCGCAAGTCTAGTAAGGTAAAGATTACAGAGTCAGTATCTGTTAAGATGTGATAATGTCCTCAGACTGATCCTTTAAACCAGTCTCACGTCACCGACACGTTGACATATGCGCAGAGTTAGCCGGGTTCAAATACGGTCAGATAAACCATGTAGTCAGCCGTTCTCACTAGCAGTGCTCTTAGTCTTTATTTAGAGCAGTGAAAGACAGAGTTAAAGAGCTGATGTTAGAGTTTCAGAAACGATCCAGTGATATCAGTTGGGGCTAGCATTTGTATGTTCAAACTGTAAAAAGTTCTTTTAATGGAACATCAGTATAGTTTGAATTGTAGCAAAAAGAGCTAGCTGAGTAGCTCATATGTGTAAGTGACTAATCTGTTGTTTTTATATATATATATATATATATATATATATATATATATATATATATATATATATTAGGGGTGCAACGATACACAAAATTCACGGTTCGGTTCGATACTTTGGTGTCACGGTTCGATATTTTTTCGATACAAAAAAAATGTTCATGCCTTTTTAATTTGTCATTTATTAAAATTATAAATATATATTTTAACTCAAAAGTACAGTTTTTAAATTTAATGTTGCTGAAACAAAAATAATTAAAAAAATAAATATATCTGATTGAGGAATCACTCATCTTTGGAAAAGCGAGTTTATTACAGAGAAAAGGCTCTTTCCAAAATAAAAGCTATACTATACGCTACTTCTGGGCTATATTCTCAGCAGCATATTGTAGCGGGTCAGGGCTGTTCAGGGTTCTGTTTGTACAGTTATGTTTTGTTTATGTTGCCATAGTGACGGGTGACGCCCTCTTGCTGCGACGGTGTGTCCTTCCGGGGTCAGAGGGCGCCCTGTGTGTTGTTGTTGTTGTTGCTGTGCGGTTGCCGCGCTGAGGAGTTAGCTAGCGGCAGTGTTCTTCTGCAGATGTCAATAAACGGCTGTGCTCCCTGGCTAGCTCACGGGAAGCAAGACCAAACAACACCTCCGTCTCCTCGTTGTCTGAGCTCGCCACATTGGTGTCAGAAGTGGGATGATGGTGGCACCCCATGTTCTGACCTGAGTGACTTTTCCCCCGCCTGTCGTGACCGGCGGTGCGCCAAAAGAAGGCACCTGGATATTTGCAAAGTGAAAGCAAAAAACAAGCGCAAATTCAAACGCGATTTCAATATGTCACATATTGACAGTGGCTCACCGATGCCAATGACATAATTACCCAGCTACATTTCCGAAAGAATGCAAAAGCATTGACATATATTTTTCCTTCCTACAATAGCCCGACGGGCAGGGCAGAGATAGATTTTGGTAGCCCGACTGGAAAAATCGCTAGCCCGATTTTGCAAGCCCTGTGTTACAGGCATGGCCCTTTAAGGATGAAGCCTGATGGGAAATGTATTCGGGATGTGTGTAGCGGGACTGCCTGGTGTGTGTGTGTGTGTGTGTGTGTGTGTGTGAAGAGAGAGAGCGGAGAAGGGGAAAAAGTAACGGTTAGCTACAGAAGAGACGGAAAGAAAATAAATAAAAGGAATATAATAACTCCCTCGACAGCCAGAGTTGTGTCGGCGATGCTCGCTGTGAGTAAACTGTTTCAGCCCACTGTACGCTGTGTTCGTGCCTTAGAGAAGAAATAAAGTTCGGTGAAGCAGTTTCCTAGCCTCCTTCGATCTTTTTGCTAGCGGAGTTGACCTGTATAGTAAGCTGTTGCCGGCTACGAGTCAGTTACGGAACCTTCAAGTAACTGCCAGAGGTTTCCTTACTACGGTTCGGGGCCGCGGATCTGGCGTGGTAACACCTGTATCTGATTGAGGAATCACTCATCTTTGGAAAAGAGAGTTTATTACAGAGAAAAGGCTCTTTCCAAAATAAAAGCTATACTATACGCTTCTTCTGGGCTATATTCTCAGCAGCATATTGTAGCGGGTCAGGGCTGTTCGGGGTTCTGTTTGTACAGTTATGTTTTGTTTATGTTGCCATAGTGACGGGTGACGCCCTCTCGCTGCGACGGTGTGTCCTTCCGGGGTCAGAGGGCGCCCTGTGTGTTGTTGTTGTTGCTGTGCGGTTGCCGCGCTGAGCAGTTAGCTAGCGGCAGTGTTCTTCTGCAGATGTCAATAAACGGCTGTGCTCCCTGGCTAGCTCACGGGAAGCAAGACCAAACGACACCTCCGTCTCCTCGTTGTCTGAGCTCGCCACATTGGTGTCAGAAGTGGGATGATGGTGGCACCCCATGTTCTGTTCTGACCCGAGTGACTTTTCCCCCGCCGGTCGTGACCGGCCGGTGCGCCAAAAGAAGGCACCTGGACATTTGCAGGACTTTGTGTGGGGCAATGGGGTCGTCGGGGACGACTGACCCCTTAGGCGGGGGCTATGTAGCGGGTCAGGGCTGTTCAGGGTTCTGTTTGTACAGTTATGTTTTGTTTATGTTGCCATAGTGACGGGTGACGCCTTCTCGCTGCGACGGTGTGTCCTTCCGGGGTCAGAGGGCGCTCTGTGTGTTGTTGTTGCTGTGCGGTTGCCGCGCTGAGGAGTTAGCTAGCAGCAGTGTTCTTCTGCAGATGTCAATAAACGGCTGTGCTCCCTGGCTAGCTCACGGTAAGCAAGACCAAACAACACCTCCGTCTCCTCGTTGTCTGAGCTCGCCACATTGGTGTCAGAAGTGGGATGATGGTGGCACCCCATGTTCTGACCTGAGTGACTTTTCCCCCGCCTGTCGTGACCGGCGGTGCGCCAAAAGAAGGCACCTGGATATTTGCAAAGTGAAAGCAAAAAACAAGCGCAAATTCAAACGCGATTTCAATATGTCACATATTGACAGTGGCTCACCGATGCCAATGACATAATTACCCAGCTACATTTCCGAAAGAATGCAAAAGCATTGACATATATTTTTCCTTCCTACAATAGCCCGACGGGCAGGGCAGAGATAGATTTTGGTAGCCCGACTGGAAAAATCGCTAGCCCGATTTTGCAAGCCCTGTGTTACAGGCATGGCCCTTTAAGGATGAAGCCTGATGGGAAATGTATTCGGGATGTGTGTAGCGGGACTGCCTGGTGTGTGTGTGTGTGTGTGTGAAGAGAGAGAGCGGAGAAGGGGGAAAAGTAACGGTTAGCTACAGAAGAGACGGAAAGAAAATAAATAAAAGGAATATAATAACTCCCTCGACAGCCAGAGTTGTGTCGGCGATGCTCGCTGTGAGTAAACTGTTTCAGCCCACTGTACGCTGTGTTCGTGCCTTAGAGAAGAAATAAAGTTCGGTGAAGCAGTTTCCTACGCCTCCTTCGATCTTTTTGCTAGCGGAGTTGACCTGTATAGTAAGCTGTTGCCGGCTACGAGTCAGTTACGGAACCTTCAAGTAACTGCCAGAGGTTTCCTTACTACGGTTCGGGGCCGCGGATCTGGCGTGGTAACACCTGTATCTGATTGAGGAGTCACTCATCTTTGGAAAAGAGAGTTTATTACAGAGAAAAGGCTCTTTCCAAAATAAAAGCTATACTATACGCTTCTTCTGGGCTATATTCTCAGCAGCATATTGTAGCGGGTCAGGGCTGTTCGGGGTTCTGTTTGTACAGTTATGTTTTGTTTATGTTGCCATAGTGACGGGTGACGCCCTCTCGCTGCGACGGTGTGTCCTTCCGGGGTCAGAGGGCGCCCTGTGTGTTGTTGTTGTTGCTGTGCGGTTGCCGCGCTGAGCAGTTAGCTAGCGGCAGTGTTCTTCTGCAGATGTCAATAAACGGCTGTGCTCCCTGGCTAGCTCACGGGAAGCAAGACCAAACGACACCTCCGTCTCCTCGTTGTCTGAGCTCGCCACATTAGTGTCAGAAGTGGGATGATGGTGGCACCCCATGTTCTGTTCTGACCCGAGTGACTTTTCCCCGCCGGTCGTGACCGGCCGGTGCGCCAAAAGAAGGCACCTGGACATTTGCAGGACTTTGTGTGGGGCAATGGGGTCGTCGGGGACGACTGACCCCTTAGGCGGGGGCTATGTAGCGGGTCAGGGCTGTTCAGGGTTCTGTTTGTACAGTTATGTTTTGTTTATGTTGCCATAGTGACGGGTGACGCCTTCTCGCTGCGACGGTGTGTCCTTCCGGGGTCAGAGGGCGCTCTGTGTGTTGTTGTTGCTGTGCGGTTGCCGCGCTGAGGAGTTAGCTAGCGGCAGTGTTCTTCTGCAGATGTCAATAAACGGCTGTGCTCCCTGGCTAGCTCACGGTAAGCAAGACCAAACGACACCTCCCTCTCCTCCTTGTCTGAGCTCGCCACAATATTAAACATATCAGGTCCCCATAAGGAGAATCATGTGCTAACGGCTGTCTAAATGACTCGGGTAAAGTTTGTAACATGCATGCTTGTTGTTTTTGTCTGCTTCCACTTGTCTTTGCACTAGGATGATGTCGGCGTAAATGTGCAGTCATATTCGTTGTGTTCCCACTAGTGCTCCGTTATCGAGCTACCCCTGCGTGGGGCTAGACGGCTAACACTTTAACGAGCTAACTGCTCGCTAACACACTAGTTCCCACCCATGTAATTGAGCATTACGTGGCACATCCAACATACTGTTTTACTTTAGTCCATGACGCGCTTACCTTCAGGGTCATACGTCACATGAAAACCAAAATAATTCCAAACGCCAGATCTGAATGAGGGTGGGGAAGGTTCAATTTGCCATGTTGCAAGGAGAGCTTAACTTCTGTCTCGCTAGCTTGCCCTGCGCTCGTCCTTCTGATGATGCTGTCTGTGTTGAGCGCTCAGTGGATCTGCGCTCGACAGTGCAGCCTAGGCTGAGTAGTCGAACGCAGATTTACTGAGCGCTCAACACAGACAGCATCGTCAGAAGGAAAGTTGATAAAATAAATTACAAATTTTGTATTGTTCGATACATATGCGTACCGAACCGAAAGCACTGTATCGAACGGTTCAATATCGATACGAGTATCCTTGCACCCCTAATATATATATATATATATGTATATATATATATATATATATGGTTCCATCCACCATGGAGGAGGGAGACGAGGAACCATCATGGAAGGACAGGCCCCTGCACGGTATGTACCACCGGCAGATAGAGGAGGTGGCTGATATTCAGAAATCCTACCAGTGGCTGGACAAAGCTGGACTGAAAGACAGCACAGAGGCACTAATCATGGCAGCACAAGAACAAGCTCTGAGCACAAGATCCATAGAGGCTGGGGTCTATCACTCCAGGCAAGACCCCAGGTGCAGGCTGTGTAAAGATGCCCCAGAGACAATCAGCAGGGTGCAAGATGCTAGCAGGCAAGGCATACATGGAACGCCATAACCAAGTGGCCGGCATAGCGTACAGGAACATCTGTGCCGAGTATAACCTGGAAGTCCCGAGGTCAAAATGGGAGATGCCCCCAAGGGTGGTGGAGGATGACCGAGCTAAGATCCTGTGGGACTTCCAGATACAGACGGACAAAATGGTGGTGGCTAACCAACCGGACATAGTGGTGGTAGACAAACAGAAGAAGACAGCCGTAGTGATCGATGTAGCGGTTCCGAATGACAGCAATATCAGGAAGAAGGAACACGAGAAGCTGGAGAAATACCAAGGGCTCAGAGAAGAGCTCGAGAGGATGTGGAGGGTGAAGGTAACGGTGGTCCCCGTGGTAATCGGAGCACTAGGTGCGGTGACTCCCAAGCTAGGCGAGTGGCTCCAGCAGATCCCGGGAATAACATCGGAGATCTCTGTCCAGAAGAGCGCAGTCCTGGGAACAGCTAAGATACTGCGCAGGACCCTCAAGCTCCCAGGCCTCTGGTAGAGGACCCGAGCTTGAAGGATAAACCGCCCGCAGGGGCGTGCTACATATTTCTATAAGAGTCTAGTCTCAATTAATGATGGATATTTATTCATATTTGCTATTTCCCAAAGCATTAAGAAACAGAGAATATACCATACCTTTGTTTTTATACCGGTAGCTGAAATGTATAGGTAATGATCCAGTGAAATAAAGTGTGCTTTTGCACTCTACTCTTACATACCAGCCATAACAAGGGCTGCCACAACGTCAGTGCGGCCAGTCATTGCAGCTTTGATGAGAGCTGTGAAACCTCTACAATCCCTTATTTCTGTGTCTATTCCAGGATAATAGTTCAGGAGATACGTCACTGTCATGATGTGACCTGTAAAAACACAGAATTTATACAACAGTGCATCAGAAAACACGAGTTGAGTGCATATTTGCAACTGGTTAAATCTCCGATTAAATCAAGCTCAAGCTATTTGCAATCCCAATCCCAAAGAAGTTCTCAGGAATCTGTGTAAAATATAAAAACAAAATGGAATAATTACAAACCTAATAAACCCAGATTTTGTTCACAATAGAACACATAAACCATATCAAAGGTTCAAACAAAAACATACATACAAAAATATTAGCTCACTTTGAGATTACTGGCACCAATAACTCTCAGTTGGGGCAGTTTGCCACTGTCTAGCATCCCCGCTTCTTTTAACAACAGTCCATAAACATCTGGAAACGGGGGAGACCACCTGCTGGACTTTTGGGAGAAGACTGTTTTCCTGTTCTTGTCTGATACAGGATTCTAGCTGCTCAACAGTCCTGGGTCTCCTTTGACATATTTTTAATTTCATGTTGTTCCAGATGTTTTCAGCTGATGAAAGATTTAGAAGTTGGATGGTCAGTTGGAAGGACACAGCTGTTGTCCATGTTTTCCAAAAAGAATGTCAAATGTTTTGATACGTCTGACCAAAGTACCATTTTCTACTTTGTCTCAGTTCATTTTGAATGAGCTTTAGTCCATTTACATGGCTTCTTTTTTGCTTGATAAAGCTTTAACCAGCATTTAAGGAATGCATTTAGTTATCTCTTTCCTGAACTGTTTGTCCATGCAGTCAGAGTGAGTGGGGAACCCATCCCCATCTTTACTGAAACAGATTTTATAGCAAACATGTCACTTGCATCAAATTAACTTTTTCGTGAGCACCCCAGTTGTAATAAGTTGGTAAAACATACCTGCTTGGGATGCAATCATCAGTGCTGTGTTGCCTTCATTGTCCTGGTGATTTATGTCAACATATGGACAGGTATGAAGTCCATGTACGATCTCTAGGAAACCTTTACAGCACGCCACCATTAAACCATTCTGTTGGTTTGAAGTTAACAGTTAAGATCAGCGATGTTGCAATATGTTGCTCACTGCTAGTCATAGAGATCATGAGTTCATTATGGATGAGACTCTCACCCAGCCATTGATGTCCAGCTCCATCGCCTCTTCTTTTGTGACCCCCCTCTCAAGCACTGTCTGCAGAGAGACCGGTTCATTACGGGCGCACGCTTGATACAGTGTTGATGCTGCACTCCCATTTCTTCTCTCTGGCGTGTAGTCTGGAAGCACCGAGTCATCCGAAAGAATGCTATCTGAGTCTGACTCTCTCCCGGATGGAGACACTTCGCTATCGTCAGGGCCTGATCCCAGGTGGGGGTCCTCCGCTGCAGTGGCCATCTTCCAGCAGAACAGGTGAAATGGGCCCAAATGCCTTTGTCTACATCTAAAACAATATCAAAAAAAGAAACTGGTCAGGCAGAAACCTCCTGTCAGATGTATGTTTTTTTGGCTTCCTGGAAAGCAAGCTATTGTTTTACAATCTGTCCACTTATTCTAAGCATAAAGCTGTTGTTTCATCACAACATGCTATATATCAGGCTTCAGGAAGATCAAAGGTTCACTTGGTGACAGATGAAGTGTGACATGAGTCCAAGCTCAGCGCTGCCTCACTGTTAACTGGATAAGAATCTAAATGCCCTGCTGAACACACAACACGGCTAAATGAGGAACAACCCACCTCAGAGTAATCTTGGTCACATGTGAACCTGCTTGCTTCAATCTGAAGCCAACATAGGTATTGAAAGTAATCACTTCTGCTTTTTGACTTGTATAATTTTTACTCCGCACAGCAAAAAGTTAAGTTTACATATTTTTACGCTGAAATCAAAACTGCAAATATATGATTTAAAGATCTATCTAAAAAGAACATCACTGACAGGTGTTTTGATGGTACAGCCATGACCTGTTATGGCTGAACTGTACATTTTTTTATTCGCTCAGTATAGACTTCTCAAGTATTTTATATCAGTACATAACTGTGAAGCCACAGTTCATAAAACAGAAGTAAAGAAATAAAAATTCAGAGGCGCATCTGCTGCATTGACTGTCATTCATCATTATGTAATAAATAATAATACCATGACTGTCAAACTATGAGACACTCATAGACATGAACAGGAAATACATACACTTACCATAAGTAGCATGAACCTGTCAGCATTTGTCTGTGACTCGTGCTAAATGACTTCTGATTTCAGCCCTCCTGCTTTGTTTGCAGAGGAGCCGTTTCCTCCCAGGCCTGTGAACAGAGATACTTTACCCATTTCCATCCCACATGTTGTCATCATGACATAAAACTAAGAGGAGGAGTCTTCGTTGAGTCTTCACTGAGGCACTGTGTGCTCATCTCCTATGCTTAGCTCATCCCACTTGTAACAGCTTTATAGAGGGGATTACCTGTTGCTCTCTTCATCTTTTAATAGCAGTTAAAAGCTAAGTATGTCTTAGCTGGATGAACTAAGTTTTCTCCTTCTACAAATTATTCAAGTTCCACTGCTAGCATTGATGCAAACCTCAAAAAGCACCTCAGCTCCACATCTGGATTTTTACTTTTCATAAATAATACCCTTGTTTAATAAAATAGCTTTTACGACTTTTACTGCCGATTTATGAATATGCAGATTGACGCTCCGACTCCTCTGTTGCAGTGGACTGCTCTTAAACAGTTTAAAAAGGCCTTATGCTAAGCTACAAAGTAGCAGGTTTAGACTAATATTCAGCCATACCATTCTGAATTTTGAGGACTATTTATCTATGCAGTTGTTATTATTATTATTGAAGTATTTATTTAAACACAAAGTCTCACTGAGATTGAAATCTCTTTTTCACAAGAGACCTGTGTACAAAAAAAAACTGAGACAGACATCGACATATTAAAATCACACATTTCACATGGTAAATGGACTGGTTCTTCTACTCAACTTGAGTAGAAGAACACTTTATACAGCATGACTCATTCACCCATTTTCTATGCCTAAGTGCTTTCTGTCTCACATTCACACACATTGACACTTGAATGATTGCATTGGAAGCAACTCAGGGTTCGGTATGTTTCCCAAACATATTTGGTATGCAGTCTGGAGCAGCGAGGGATTGAACCACCAACCTTCCCATTAGTAGATGAGCTGCTTTACCCCTGATCGGTCATAAGAATGAAGATAAACATGTGCACGAGTAGCTGTGGACAAACAAATATAATCCTTCATAATGTTTCTGTGAAATAAAAGATTATAACTTTCTTCTCCTTCATATTTCAAATTATGAAAGAGAAAAAAAAGAGCAATCTCTACAGGGTCACCTAGAGGTCGATGTAGCTTACAGGAATACACTCCTCTTTTTGACCACCTTATAAAAATCTGGAAATAAGTAGCTACTACCATATAAAAGTTTTTTCAGTCTTCAAAATTATTTTTATTGGTGGACATCTTTAATTCATTTACGAGTATAAAATGTTAACAGTAAGCTGCTTTAATCCAAAGAATCTAATTAATTTGTTAAGACTAACTAGCAGAAAGTCAAATCCCATTAGACATGACCAGTGTGTTCGGAATAGATGGGACAGACTCCAAAACAAAGAAATTCCCAAACAGCTGCAGTTCAGGGATGGTATTTCTCAAATTTACCTTTTTGGTTGGTCACAGCAGAGTGAAAGTGATGACATCCTACATCTGTGATAGAAGTGTATGGGATATACAAACTTCATTGGCATGATTTAAATCTGTGGATTGTTTACATTCCAGGAATTACCTCAGAGCACAAACTGGAATAAAAGTGTTAAATCAAATCTGGTTTAAAAGAAAAGGCAGTAAGTCTGTGTTTCTTTATCATAATAATAATTATAATAATAAGACAGTTGAGGTTTTTAATAAACTATTCTGAGTATATTTTTTTGTTCTGGGAATGCAGTAACAGTCTGAAATTAGCCCAAGGAATCTGCTGGACATGGCAGGACCTGTCTGGATGGCTTGACCCTCTCTAATCCAGAGCGGCCTAAGGAGAAATCCCACTGAAATTGACCAGCTGTCCTCATCTTCCCGCAGGAGACCCGCTGCAAAGTTTAAGCTGTCTGCTTTTGTCTTTTTGTCAGGCAGGATGAGTTGGATGTTTCTCTGAAGCCTAAGCTTAACTTGTTTTCTACCTTTGATTAAAGTCCAAAACTTGGCGCACGGATGATTTAATGAGGGGAAAGAGTACAGCACCAAGTGAAGAAAGATGATGCAATGATAGAAGAAGCTCAAGAGGAAGAAAAATGAAGACTTTGGAAAAAGGGAGGAATGAAGAACTTCTGGAATACAAGCTTGATAAAGTGAGTACCCGTGTGACATAAAAGGAAATGGTCTCATATAAAATCTTATGTATATATCAGCATATTTTTGAACAAATGTTTAATTAGGTATTAATTTATGTCAAATATTATCCAGTATAATGGATGTTGAATTACATAACACAAGAAGACATCTCAATACAGGAAAATAAGTAATTTTTCAAAAACTGTGCAACTATTATTTGATTCAAATTATATATTTTTTGTTTTCAAATCTTGTTCTCTTTGCCATGTAGTCTTTAGATTTCTAATGCAAAGAATCACATAAATGTAATTTCTTCCAAAATCCATTAAAAGTGATTCCATTCTTGCTAATATGAGTGCAAACAAATTAACATTATTATTAAAATTATTATTACTATTTTGCCCTAAAATAGGGCTCATTTCAGTTTAATTTAATTCGTCATCTGTTATGGAAAACCAAATCCTGAGCCTTAGTCATTTAGCCAGCATGCAGACACGCGCTTCTTGCTGTTTTTATGGCCACACGTTCGAATTTGTCATAAATGCAAAGACAACAACATGCAGAGCAGTGTGGTTTCCTTAAAAAAATCTATTCAAATGAAATAAGCTGCATGTGATCTTTCTCACATGTCATGCAGTAAGACTTGTTGGGGTGGTGATCAGCAAATCTAGCTGCATTCTGCATTTTTGTTTTGTAGGCTAGAAGCTGACTATTAAGATTCAATTACCCTGGCTTAACTTGAGTGAACATCATTGACCCCAGGCTGTGATACCATCCACTCTCCTGATCGTTTTTGTTCTCTAAGAGAAATTCCACAGATAAGATAAGAACCCACTTAAGCTGAAGCAAAAATAAGAGAGACAGGGGGTGGAGGAGAGGTGAAACAGAGTGTTAGCCTGGTATAATTAGCTCTGTCTGGTAGGATCTACCTACCCCCCTAATCTATCACATATATATGTATCAAAATACAAATCCAATTCCCTTCACTGATCACTCGCTTGTCTTTTCCATGTATAAGATTTCAGACACCAGCAGGGAGAAAATGTTGTTGCATGGTCATAGCCGGGACATATGGACTCGGGAGAAGTGGGCCGGGAAGTCACCTGTGACCGCAGGTTGCAAAGGTACCGCAGTGAGTGTATGCATCGATTCGTATCCCAGGATGTCATGCCACCTGGTTGTCAAATCTCACTAGTTTTCCATATTAAACACATGCTATCCTGCACTGTTGTTTCACAATCCACCACCTGCATCATTACTGTACACCTAGTGATAATGGTCCTCTTTTAAAGTGCTGCAGAGTCTGAAGTAACTCAGAGTTTATCAGCCAGGAAAGCAGGCTATGTTTTACTTAGTTTTTACTGACTGATTCATTTCATCTTCACTTGCTTTTTACTTTAAAGTTTACTTGCTGGTTAGATTTCGGCACCAAATACAACTTGTTTTGGCTTAAGATAGGTTCATGGTTTGGACCAGTGATAATCATTCACTCATGCATGACTCCCTGCTCCATGTTTACTGAGTTCTATGAGTAATTTTCTCTGCACCATTAAATGCACCATTGCTGTTACATAGTCAGAAGGTGGCAAAAGAAAAAAGGTTAAATAATGACATAAATACTGACACACAGCATTGTATTAAACACAGAACATATTTTTTCCAAAATTAATACACAAAGTTAGTAGTGTCATGTGCTCCTTTCTTTCCTCTCATCTGTCTGCCATTTTTGATCCATGATACTATACAGTGGTTGGGGAGTGACCACTGGTTGTACACGGCATTTAACGAGGAATTGTGGGATACTTTGAATTCAGGTAGTGTAGTGAAAGTGCTATAAAATGTCTATATAGTCAATACTTGCTATAAAGTGAGTAGTGAGTGATTTGCACACACTGTTTGCTGCTGGGTGCAACTCTTACATCACCCATAGTGGGGAGCTGTTTGACAGAAAAGCAACGCATGCACAAGAGTTAGAATTGACACACCAAAATAAACACCGAATGCAACCCCACATTATGTTATTCTGGTGATTAGTTATTGACTGATTAGGCATGCGCAAGCTGACATACACATGCACGCACGGACTGTAATCCTAAATTGTGGCGGGATTAGTGCAGTTCAGCTCAGAGGGATCATCGTCTCAGCAGAGTTTTTAAAAGCTTAACTCGACGGCCGGCAGAACGAGAGCATTTTGACATTTTTGCAGCCGTAATTTCCCCCTCTGTGGACTGAGATGTCATCATTTGCACTGGTCATGTGTGAATGTTGGTTTGCATGTGTGTGTGAAACTGTGCAGTTTGCATATAGTAAAAAATGAAGCTGTGTCAAATTCTTCTATTCCTTTTTTCTCCCCCTTCTTCATTGACTTTGTCCACATTTGGGATCATGCGAGTTTACCCGTAAATCTTCTTGAGTCACCGCTGCGAGCACGGACAGCTGTGCTCGTAAGATCATCTCGTCAAGAATACTTAATCTTGGCTTTGAGATTAAATCGGTCCGCCTCCATCTAGCTACCTCGGTGGGCTGTGTGCAGGATATTTTCATATGTTGGCTTTTCCACGGCAGTGCTTTGGTATCGACAGGTGGCGAGCGGGGAAGAGTAGGCTGTCATACTGATTTGAGAGAATGGTTTAGTTAAAAGTTTTGAAAACATAAATCGTAGATTAAGCTGAGAGTGCGGGCCCATTTGAGTAACTGGGGGTGCTTTTTTTTTTATAGACTTTAAACGAAATTATGACTGCTTGTGGTATTTCTTTTCACACTTTCTCACTTTTTCCCCTCTACTCCTGAAATACACAAATGTGGGTCGTTGATGTGTTTCCAAATCTGCAGCTTGTTGTCTCTTAGTAGGTTGTGATGGCACACAATGTGTTCTCAGCTTTTATTACTTTAGCTGAGTGATTTGTTTTAACTAAGAGTCCACGGTCTGCAACCTTTGGAGTCAAGTGGTGTTGAATAGTAGAAGTAGAATAGTTTTTGTAATCTGGAAGTGGGGAACACCTGAGATTAATTGGTAACAAATTTGTAGCAAATAGTTGTCAACATCAAAATTATTCAAATAAGCACTTCTTCCTTTGAAAAACATGATTTATAGTGTACTTTCTTTCTTGCTAACCCAGCCCAGACCAAACGTGGACCAGTCAACAGGCAGGCATTGCCTAATGAAAATGACTGTTTGCCTGTTCAGTGGAAAAGTTCATGCTCGTTGTTATTCATGCCTGCTAATGGTAAGCAGAGAGCAAACACTGATAATAGAAGCTGATGAAGGAGGTGTGAAGCGAGAGTGGATCAGGAGGGGAGGGGAGAGGCTGAGAGGAGGGACTGGAAAACAGATGCTGGTGCAGCAGCACAGCATGCTCGCTACCATCCCTCCCTCATCAGGGCCCCTCCCCTTCCCTGCCCCTCTGTTGCTCCCTCACTTACTTTTGGTCCCTCTCATAATCTTTGCCCACTATCTCCCAGTGCAGAGAGGCTCATAAGCCGAAGCCCTCAACAGCCTCTCTGGTTTTCCTGCGATTTGCCATCAAATCATGGGATAGTGGTGGAGTTTTTTTCCCCATCAGGTGTTGTTGCTCGAATTTGGAATATGGCTGTGAAGCTCTGTGTACACTTTTCCTCTCTCCTGCGGGGATTACCACAGAAATAGTGTGTGTGCATGTGTACATGTGCTTCTGTGTGTGTGTGTGTGCTCAGCACTATGCCTATTTCTGATGGTGTTGAATGGACCGGCAGAAGTGCATCACCATGAGAGGGAGTCACCATCACCGAGGGTGTGGGTGTCAGCACCTGTTTAGAAAACTACTCAGCAAATGTGGCTGCTGCTTTGTCAAAGCCAGAGGTACGTAGAAGTTTTACTGCAGGTTTATTCATCTGTTGTTGCGGTGTCTGCAAGATGTTGCAGAGTGTTCATATTTTGTAATATGAGGAGATGCATTCAGACTCTGTAGTTTCACTGCAAAGTAAGAGCTTTTATTCAGTTATACAATATAATAAAGACCATCGATCCTTCCTCATTTACTTTTGATTTTTAATCTTTTAATTATTTGCATGTATCTTTCATCTGTTCGGTTTCGGGTAATTATTAATATTTTCCATTTCATTGTACGGGAAAACAGGAAACAGGAAAGTTTCAGGTGAAAAGTTATGCAAACTTTTCAACCAAAAATCTCTTCCCTCGACTTCACCTGTTAGAAGATCATCATAATCCTATGGATGGAGGTAAACTGCCAAGAAGGATGTTTTTCAAAAAAATTATCTGAATGTTACCTGCTTTTGGGATACTGAGACATTCCAAAATCAGTTGAGAGAAATAATCTCGTTAGCGTGTCCTTGGTCCACCCTGGGGTGGAACCTGAAACATCTCCCTAGGAGGCACCCTAGCCAGATGCCCAAACCACCTTAACTGGTTCATTTTGATTGAGCTGAGCTCCTCCGGAATGATTGAGTTCCTAAGCTATCTCCTGACCTTGGAAGAGCCCAGATGCCCTTCGAAGGATACTCATTTCTGCTGCTTGTATCCACGGTCTTATTCTTTTGGTGACTACCAACAGTTTGTTATCCAAAGGTCAGGGCAGGACTGTAGATCAATCAGTTAATAAGCAGCTTTCACTTCACACTCAGCTGTCTCTTCACCACAACGATTCCCTCACTTGTGACCACAAGATACTCTAACTCCTCCACTGGGGGTAGCAACTCATTCTCACTGAGAACCATGCCCTCTGTCTGGGAAGTCCTAATTCCCATCCCAGCCTCTTCACACATACAGTACATACACCCCAGTGTGAGCTGGAGGTCATTGGTCAGTGAAGCTAACATGACCATAGGGTAAACCCTTTGCCCCTAAAATGTCATGTCCATACAAATTATGAACAGAATCTCTGACAAAGGGAAAGCATTTAAAGTCCTACACAACTGGGAGCTAGTCTTAATCCTTGGAATCTGGACCAAGCTCTCACAACAGTTATTCATGGACCAAATAGCACAGAGATATGCCTTCTCCAAATCAATAAGTTTAAACTTTAAACCTTCTGACTCAAAGGTTCAGTTAACAGACTCCTCTATCCAGTAACATGGTAAAAACCTTCCTAGGCTGAGGACTGTGATCCCCTGAAGCTGGAACATACTCTGCAGCACCCTCGCTTAAAAAGGGGGACCACCTCTTCGGTCTGCTAACCATTGGCACTATTTCAGAACTCCATGCAGTATTGCAGCAGATACATCGAGATGCTTGAGGATGTCAGGGCATATCTTATCCAGTTTTTCATACTGTGACCATGCGCATGAAAAAATGATCAAGGTCTGGCTGTCCTAGTATATTTAGGAAGTCTTTAAAACTACTACCACTATAACTACTACGATTACTACTGCTACTAATAACAGCTGTTTACATTTTGTCTTAAATATTGTCCGAGTGCACTGTTAGTAAATGACGTCTGCTGGGCCCAGCCTTGCTGTGGTGTGAGGTGTGAGCTCCTGGATCAGGGCCATGTTCTCAGAATACCCCCACTATGTCATTTACTAGTCCATGGCTTGATTTAGGGATGAAGGTGACTTGGTTAGATTTAAGAAAGCATTGTGGTTTGTGTTAAAATATGGCCCTTTGCATCATTGGAACATTTGCAACATTAACCTTGCACACTGAACAATAACACGTAAGGGTACTCGATGCATTAAAATTTGATGCCAAGGGGTTCTGACTAAGTCCTTATTTCATTATGACATACCTGTGTTGTGTGGGTTGCTGTAGAAATTCCCTTGTTTTCTCGTTGGCTCAAATAATGAATCACTTCCACAAAAAGCCTTTGACAAACAAACTGCATTTCACTGGATTTCCTTATTTGTTTGATTAAGGATTAGTTTACTGAGATTAGGTGGATATGCCCATAGCCATGGCTAGAAAAGAAAAAAAATTCTCATCTGGTTGTTTCTCACGTTGGATGCATTTTTGAGTGCTGTTCTATGTAGAAAAAATCATTCCCCTAATACTGTGACACTGCCTCATAGCTAATGCGGCTGTAAATACACACATATTAAGACATGCACACACAAAGGCACATGCATAGACACAGAGCCATGTCCCACAACTGCAACCCTTAAATCCTCTGTTGTTCCAGTTGTTTCAGGA